CTGAGACTTAATATCCGCTATCCGCTATCCGATCCGATCCGCTCCGAAAAAACGGATATCCGGGGGGTCCGGATCCGGATCCGGATAGTGATTTCACGGATCCGGCGAATCCGGATCCGAATCCGGATAGTGAAATTTTCGGTCCGTATATCCGGATCCGGGCCCACTAAATATTTTAAAAAATATTTAAAATATAATTATATTTATATAGTATATTATATATTTTTTATTAAATATAACTAATACTTATTTTTTTTAGTAATTTCTATTATTTAAATTTAACTTTTTTCCAAAATAATATTTTTTAATAGAATAAATAAATACTAAACTTTTAAATTTTAATGTTTTTTATTTTATTTTTTAAATAAATCGAATCCGGATATCCGCGGGTATCCGAGTTTTAGTCCGGATATCTGGATGGCCCGGATCCGAATCTGGATAGTAATTTTACGGATCCGCTGAATCCGGATCCGGATATCTTAAAATACCCCGGATATCCGATCCGTCCCACCCCTTGTGAAGGATATGAAAGGCAAAGAAATGTATATTCTAGAAGTATAATTGTTAGGCTTTTCTTGATTGATTGATGTAAAACATTCGCCAAATGAAAGTGTCTGTACTGTGTAAGTATATGACATCTTGAGAGTCATAGTTAATGAAAGATATGCAAGTCAACGAAAATATATGTATACTAGAGTTGCGCCTTGCACATAGTAAATGTATGTAATTAAAATATAAGATTGTAGTATTCACAAATTTAAAATTTATATATGATTATTTTTATATGTATTTGGAAATTTGGAATTTTTATATAATTATCTATATGTAGGATCAAAAACAATTGTAATTAGAGCTGTAGATCTAAACTTATAATTTAATGGGTCTTGATCATATATATTTTCATTTTTCAGTGTTCGAGAGATGGAAAATAAACAGAGTGTCACATGGCTTAATTGGTAGAGCATTATCAAGTTCTCTAATGCTTTCTTAAGAAGAAATTGGTAGAATATTCACATTTAGAATATATCAAATTTTAAAAAAATTAATATAATTTACTTATTTGTCTAATAATATCATAAAATTATTAAAAAATAAATTAAATTCCAAATTCTAATTATGTCTAAAATAAAATTAGTTATTACGATATGACATATATATATATATATATTTGTATATATACATATATATATATTAACATAAACACCTATTAAAATAAAATTATTTTATTCATATGATTTTATAATCATTATAACTTATTATAGAAAAAAAATTTAGACCTTGATCACAAAAGTTTATGTGAGATTTTTAATAGATTTAGTAATTTATACTCGTTTTAAAAATTTCAAAATACAACATATATAAAAAGTCTAAATTTTTATTATATGATTAGTGCAGTTGTGTAATTTATTTTAATAATAATTTTTTTTTAAAAAAATGATATAAAGTATACAGATTGTTAACAAATATTTATTATTTAAAATCATTAATAGTTAGTTATATTTTAATCACATCAGGTAATTTCGTAGGTTTTATTTAAGGAAAGAATATATAAGATATTTAGTTTGATATGTCTTATATGATACCAACGGAATTTGTTTTTTTTTTAAAATGCTTTATATGAGGTGCTTTATAATTCTTCCAAGTAAAAATAGAGAACTACCACATAAGATATGATTTTTTAATTAGTACAAACTTAAAGTTATAATTTTTTTAAATGATCCTCAATTAATATATAGGGGATTTGGTGTGTGCATTTAAATCAAACGATATTAACAATCACTAGTTGCATACTCCCCGCGCAAGCGCGGGGCCGGGATCATTATGTTTGCGTGTATTTTTTTCGATTGTTGGTTTAGTGGATTCTTCTAATGACACCAAATAATAATGAATTGGAAAATTTCATGTTTTTATATCGTATGTCAAAACTTTATATAATTCTATATTTACAGTATATATATTTGTATCAAACGATTTATCAATTTGAAAATAACATTAATTAAGTTAGTATTCGTTGTTTAAGTTTCATTAGATAGGTTTTTATATATGGTTTTTTGTAAGTTTGGGTTTTGTTCATAAATGATGTGACATATTTATCTACGGAGTCATCGACTGTGGGAATCCATTCGCCGAAGTCTGGAGTCAGTGGTGAGAAATGTTTTCAATGAAATTATAGTAGTTATTAAAATATAAGAGAAATTACATATTCATTTAATAAATAACTAAAAATACTTAAATTTTGTTGTTTATTTTATTTTATTTCACATACAATTTTTTTTGAAAAATATTAGGAATGTGTTAAATGTTATTTATATGCGAAGTAAGGTTTATAGGAATAGTTAGGCTATAATATAGTTTTTAGTGTGTAAAAGTAGGTGTTTTTTTTGCTGTAAATAGTTTTTATATCGTAGATCAAAACTTGATATAATTCTATATTTATAGTATTTATATTTGTATTAAACGATTTATCAATTTAAAAATAACCTTAATTAATTTAATATTCGTTGTTTAAGTTTCATTAGATAGGTTTTTATATATGGTTTTTTGTAAGTTTGAGTTTTGTTCATAAATGATGTGGCATTTTTATCTACGGCGTCATCGACTGTGGGAATCCATTCGCCGGAGTCTGGAATCGGTGGTGAGGAATGTTTTCAATAAAATTATAATAGTTATTAAAATGATAGAGAAATTACATATTCATTTAATAAATAACGAAAATAATTATTTTTTTTTTATTTTTTTATTTTATCTCACATACAAATTTTTTTGAAAATATATATTAGGAAATATGTGCAATGATTTAACTTTTTGAGCTCCTAATCTAGATTATTCAAGCCTCATTAAACCATCCATGTAGGCACCCGCGTGGAATTCACTTTTTTTTATGGTCTGTTCGTTTTTGGATTTATTTTTTATTATTTTTGAGCTGAGCAATATTATAATAGGATAGTTTTAAGGTTCTTTAAGCCATCCGCGTAGGCAATCGCGTGAGACTTGGGTTTTTTTTTCATTGTTCGTTTTGGATTCATTTTTAACTATTTGGGTTTAAACTTGTTAAGATTTAGGATTTATCCAACTATTTTGATCTTTAAAACAATAAGCCAAAAAAAAACATAAAAACCTTATAAACAAAAAGCCCATATGATAATAACCCAAATAAAAAAAAATAAAAAAAACATGATAGCTGCGTGGTTTGAACCCACAATCTTGCATACTTAATTAAACACATTATACTACTTGGCTAAAGTGTATTTCATTGTTTGTAATCATCTTATCAAGACGTTGAGTGTTTAAAAAATATCTACGGGACCCACAAAACTGCTGACCTGGCGCGCTGTGGAGCTTAGAAAGTCTACTATTATAATATAGATTTATGGTAAATAAATCAACACAATCAATTTTATCCATATTAGATACAATTAAATTTAAATGACATTAAAAATATCTATAATATATTTTAAATATGGATGTTTAGTAAATAATCCTTTTCATTATAAGGTTTTATGATTATCAATATATTTTTATAACAAAATTTTGAACTATTAGAAATTGAATGCAAATTTTAAAATTAAAATATTAAACTAAATATTTTTCGATGAAAATGTCAAAATATAAGTATGCATTTTATATGGTATGTAATTTAATTTAAATTATATATATATATATATATATATTAATATAAACATATTAAATAAGACGTCTTACTCATGTATTTTATATTTATTTGTATCTTATTATAATCAAAACTTAAACCATTGATCACAAAAATTTCATTTGATATATTTAACAATTTAGTAATTTATACCCGCTTTAAAAAATTCAAAATACAATATAAACGGAAAAATATAAACTTTTGTTATATAAATAATGTAATTGTGTAAATTATTTTAATAACAAATATTTAAACAAATATGGTAGATGATATAAAAATTGTTAGCAAATATTTATTACTGAAATTATTAATTGTCATGTAGTTTTTAATCACATTAGGTAATTCCATACCTTTTATTTAAGAAAATAATGAATAATAAATTTTTAATATTAATAAGATATGTGACCAACATCTTTCTAGTAAATATATGTTTAAACTATGGTATATGTAAAGTGTTCTAGAATTATGTTAAATAGAATTTAAAAGGAAAGAGATATGATACATAGGATTAAGGTTATTATTAATTAATACAAACTTAAATTTACAATTTTTAAATGATCCCCAAATAATATATAGGGGATATCATGCAATGAAGAGGAGCAACTTATCTGCTGGGAGAAAAGGAGAAACAGAGTTGAGTGATAATCAAACTTATCTATATAAAATTCTTGTTAACTTTTAACAAATAAATCAGAAAATAAATAAAATAAAATAAATCAGAACTATTCAAAGGAAAAAGAGATGACAAAGTGAGAAGGTGTCATCAAGAGAGTTGGATCTTTTTAGAAAAAACATATGAACTTTATAGTTCTTCAAAGTAGAGAGACCATAACATATTAACATGTTTAATATGTTTTTTTTTCTTTCTAAAAAAAATATTAACATAATAATTTAGTTTTCTCCACAACATGGGAAAAATCAAACAAGTTTTTCTTGTTAGAGACTGTTTGCCCGAACAAATTCGCATATAAACTGTTACCCAAAAAAAATCGTATATAAAAATTTCAATGCTATAACTACAAAATATGTCAGTTAGTAACATATATAAACCAATCAAACTTAGAAAGAAGATTGATGCAATAGTACCATATATACACAAAACTCTAATTAATATATTTCAAATCTAATGACATTTTTGAATGTAGAACCAAACACATCTGCTGCATGTGGACGTGGTCCCTCGATACGAAGGAGAAGGTTATTGAAGAAGAAAAGAGGAAACGCATTTAAAGACTTTCACGTATATTGTAACGATCACAAAAATATCATTTATTTCCTCTATTACAACATTTATTGCCAATTCACTGCGAGCTTTCCTTTCTCTTCTTTACTCTCTCAAAAACTTAACCGGCGATTTCGAATCTTCTCTGAAATCACAGAAATATTTTCTTTCTTTCATCTTCTCTTTCGAGAACCAAAAAGAAAGAATGAAACGGAGGACAAATTTGGGGTTTGTAGATACGATCTACGAAGAAGAAGACTACGTGGATCACTCCTCTTCCTTCTCTTCTACTTCTTCATCTTTGTCTCCTTCTCCTCAACCACGTATCAATCTCTCCTCTTCTTCAATGGAGCTTGAATCTAGAGTCAATAAATGGTAATCTTTCTGTATAACTTACTAAATTTCACGACCATTTTGTATATAATTAACTTTTATTTGCTGTGATCTTTGTTCTATTATTCAGGTCGTTGGTTAATAATTCTGAACCTGATGTGTTGGTACATGTGAAAGGCACAAGGTTCCATCTTCATAAGGTTACGTTTTTCAAACTTTTGTTTGCTAATTTCGGACATTGCCCATTTGCTTAGTTTCATCAAAATCAATACAATTTTCAACGATTTTCCATGTCATGTCGCAAAATTATTTCAAAAATTTAACTATATTTACTCGTTTATACTACTTATATGATTTGGGATTAATTACATGATTCTTTTTAAAAATTAATCTTTATTTTTCTTAAAAAAACATCAACAATTGTCTATTTAAACTCAAATTTATAGAATATAAATAGGCATAACAAAACTCAAATTTTTAGAATATAAAACGTTTACCATTATTTTTTTAAAAATGTCAAGTAAAAATTCGAAAGGAGAATTTACTAATATTTTAAAGAAGAAGAAATTACACATTTAATGCGAAAAAGCAAAAAGGTTTGATTTTAATTACCATGTCATGTTTTAATCCCATAGGATCCTCTGTTAAGAAAGAGTGGCTATTTAAAACGCCACCTAACGAACGTTAGCGAATTAACTCTCTCACCGCCGTTAAACATAACGTCCGAAACATTCTCTTTCGTAACGGCTTTCTGTTACGGCGCTCACCTCGAACTAACGCCGTTCAATGTCGTTTCCCTGAGAGTCGCCGCTGAGCTTCTTCTGATGACGGGAGCTGGAGGAAACGACGTTAAAGATAACCTTAGGAACTTAACGGAGTCTTATCTCCGACGAGTCGTCTTCGTCAACGTCGACTACATCAAGATCGTTCTCCGTTCATGCCTCGCATTGCTTCCGGAGTCCGAAACGACGGCGTTTTTAGTTGGAAGATGCATCGAAGCTCTGACGGAAGTCGGGGATGGAGAGTGCGTCAACGAGTTCCTCGAGCAAGCCGTTATACTCCCCGCCGGAGATTTTATCATCGTCGCCGGAGCCGTGCAGCAAAGGTTCCCGCGCCACGATTTGCTTTATAGAGTCGTTGATGCTTACTTGAAGGTAGGGTTAATTTCGTAAAATCGTTATTAAAATTTTATTACGGCTACGTGTCATTTTATAATTGGAGTTAATTTCAGGAGCATGACGGAGAGATAACGGAGGAAGAGAAGGTTGACATATGTAACTCGATAGACTGCAACAAACTCTCGCCGCCGTTACTCCTCCACGCCGTTCAAAACCCGAAAATGCCCCTGAGGTTTATCGTACGCGCGATGCTACAGGAGCAGGTCAACACGCGCTACTCGATCATTGCCGCCGCGGACGCCGTCGCTACTTCTGCCGGACATAGAAACAGAGAGATCACCGAGGCGGAGAGAGACTCCTCCGTGACGCTGGGATCGCTTCTGCAGCGAGACACTGCGGCGAGGCAAAACTGCCGGTTAAGAGCAGCGATGGATTCAACGAGCTCGAGGATCAAGAGCCTGGAGAAGGAGCTTGACCAGATGAAAAAGCTCATATCTAAAGAGTCAGAACGGATCGTTGAGAATGAGTATAAGTCAAGGAGTGTGGTGGACTCTGCTCGGTCAGCGAGTTTCCATTGCGTTCACAATTCAAGTAACGTTAACACGATGCAGAGAGGAGAGAGAGGTTCGGTTTCATCACTGAGCACGACTTTCCGGCGAGGAGGAACGTCTGCACCGCCGCAGAAAAGTCTTGGTAAAAGATTGATTAAGGGAATAAAGAATGCTTTCTCTTCATCATCATCCAAACAAGAAGTAAAGACAAATGCAAATACAGTTGAAGAGATTTATGATGGATTAGAAGATTTCGTTTGGATTAAAGATGATGACAACATCTCTGAAGAACTTCACTCTCATTACATCAAGAACAAATGATCTCTCTCTCTATCTCTTTTACATTTAATTTTGTAGCCAAGAGTGACTATGTTTCTTCTTCTTCAAGTAATGAAATATCCATTGTTTTATCCTCCACAGCAGTTATAAAGATCTCTGTGTTGAATTTTTGTTTAGCTGCAAATATATGATGTTCAGATTTGCCAAAAAAAAAAAAAGTTCAAATTTAAATTGTTATTGTATTCAAAATAAGAATTGAAAACATAAGATGAGAAGAAAGCATATAATTTACCTGCAATACCCGTGCAACGGAAGGCAGCCCTTTTTCTCCTCTTATTCTCTTCAGTGTTCTTTCTTAGCTTTAGCTTTTGCAGCCGCTTCTTTTGCTTCTATTCTAGTTCTATAGGAGGCTTTCTTAGCTGCTTCCATAGCAGCAGATAAAATATCTGAGCCGTCATTTTTTTCGTTTCTTAAACTGCAGTAAACTAGAGAAAACACAACGAGATTAGCTTTGATAGAGATTCATGTTCCTCTGAAAAAAACAGGATAATGATTGGTGCTTAGTAGTAACCTCTTTAGAGCTTCCATCAAATCCTCTCTACCAGGGCGTAGATTAGGCTTCTTTTTGGGTCCTTCAAGTTCATCTAGTTAAAAAAGGAAAAATCAGTTTCTTGACGGAGTAATAACACAAGAATCAAGATTCATGTCTAGAATTTCAGAGAGGGCGTGGAGTGGAGATGACAAACCTACATGATCAAAGATTATGCCAGTTGAGCACCGCTTAAATAAACGACCGTCACAGTCATTCTCGGGTTTTATATCCTCTGGAACATTTATAGGATCTTTCACAAAGTCCTCCATCAAAAGCTTCTTCACCTGTTTGGCTTAATCAGCAACAATAATCAACTCAAAGAAGCCATAACTAACTGTATTAAAGAACAAACACTAGACATATACAAAATGAATGTATATTACTAACTCAAAAGAAGGCACAACTTTCAGACCACTAGTTCCACTGAAAAAAACGCTTACCACATTCTACGTCGCGAAGATAATTACACTAACCAATAAAATTCCTAATGAAGTTACTTAAATTATAAGTAACAATGTCTGATTGCAATGAAAAGAGCTATATGATATTTGCTTTCTTCAATATATAAGCAACCTTGATTTGGGCACGTGTTAGCTTTTTAGGTTCGAGTCGAAAATCTTCATCTTCATCTTCAAACGGCTGCGGGTTTGGTGGCGGAAACGACGTAAACGGTGGTCGTAGCTATGGAGTTGATGGCGGCTTTCCACTTGGGATCTTCCTCTTCGCTGCTGCTATCAGCCATTCGTGGAAAATCACTCTCTCTCCGTCTTGTAGCGAACTTCAAACTCTCCGGCAGAAGAACGTCGTCAAGGCCTCAAGGGTTTATTACGGTGTAACTTGTGGTTTTATCGGCGCAAATTAGAAGAAAAAAAAAACCCAATTAAGGATACGGGTCGGGTTTAGATTCTGGTAATAACAAATCCAAACCAAGTATACTTCGGGTTCTGTATCATTAACACAAAATCAACTAAACCGGAACTGAATACTCTTCTCACCAAAACTGTGTCCTCAACGAAAAAAAGGTAACAGAGCTCTCATACTATAATCCTCAAACTGATATGTTATTTATTAACAAAAGCCTATAAACTCTCTATCTCTAAACCCTGTAAAACAGCACAACAACAACAATAAGCAGCAGCAGCACAACAGTCAAAATAAAGAAGATAAAGAAACACAATCTCTGCCTTCTCAAGCACTCATCTTCCCTCCTCCTAAAGGCAACCGCCACTGTCTATGCCAATACACAGAAACTCTCGACCACATCGGAAACCCGAAAGTAAACTCAAGCGGCCTATCAGCCGGGCCACCAACTATCAACGGTAACCACAAATACCTCGAATCTCTCAAATCCGCCGGATTCCACCTATCCGCCATAAATATAAACGCACCAGGAACACCAGGCAACGGTATCACATACGTACTCTGCGAGAAAAACGTCGTCATCCTAAAAACATTATTCCCACCAACACAAGGGTTCCCCAACGTCTCCCACGGTCCCATCACCGACTCAGCCGCATGAGCCAACGCCTCGTTTGGTGCCCACCCGGTACAACCAGATGTGATCATGTAATAAGTATTCTGGTGTTTAAATATAGCTGGTGCCTCTCTGTGTTGTCCCACCATGATCCTCTTCATAACCGGTTTAACATCGAGGTAGTTTTCGGTTAAAGGACCAATGTGTAGGACACTGTTTTCCTCTGATGAGTATATCAAGTAGGCAATGTTGTCATCGTCTTTGAAGATTGTCATGTCTCTGCTGTCAAACCCGTGTGGTGATTTGCTGTATAAGTATTCGAATGGACCTGTCGGGGTGTCGCTTATGGCTACACCAACGGAGGCTTTGGTGTAGTTTGCATCGTCTATATGCATCCACATCACGTACTTCCCTGTTTCTGAGTTGTAGATCACTTTAGGTCGCTCGAGGACGTTGGATTTGTGTAAGTCATGTGTCTCGTCTAACTCTTCGGCTGCTAAAACAACACCTTCGTTCTTCCATGTCCATAAATCTTTCGACGAGTAGCATCCAACACCTATTATATCAACCTGAAACAAGTTCAAGAAACTGTTACTTTTATTACATTTCAATGTTCTAAAAATCGGTCTAGTTGGTAAATCGGACATGAACAAAATGGGTTTTCAAAAAATTAGTCTACACGTCCGCCTAAACAACTAATCTTATATAATACACCTGACCACGGCCTAGAGATTTCTTGAACATTTTTACATTCTAACTCAAAAGTTTCAAGAGTGAGACAGTAGTAACTTCTTACACGAGCTGGTCCGTTCTTGTAAGTGTGATAAGTTGGTCCATCTTTATATTCACCGTACCAATAGTAACTCTTTGACCTTTCATCAAACAATATACCACCACCGTGTGCTTGTATCGGATTCCCTTCCGTGTCCAACCAAATCTTCCCAGGGAAGAAGTTGTGCAACGTGTCATTACCATCTTTGGTCGGACCAAAAGCTGATTTCATGTCCGGAAAGAAAAGATGTCGGATCTGTGAGTTTTCGTCGAGAAACTCTTCCACTAAAGTGGTTGGTCTTTTGGGTTTGCGTTTGATGGCACGTGCAGAACGCTTCCTAGGAGGAGGCATGTGAATGTTCTCTTCTTCGACTCGTTCTAGCTCACGGACAATGGGATGGTGCGTTAGCAACTTAGAAGAGACTTCGAGATCTACGCTATAGTTTCTGCTGTATAACATGATGAGATGAATCATGAAAACACATCCCACAAGTGTTGATACTAGAGAAAACGGTGAACAACGTAGTAACGTTGGCTTCTTGTTGTGTTTGCTCTTTGCCATCTTTTTCCAAGCTGTATCTCCACTGTTCATAATCTACTCAGATTCAATACACCCAAAAAGAAATATATTATTAAGCATCTAATTAAGCAAACAGTTATCCTTTTTACATTTTTGGCAATAGCAGAATGTTTACAAAAAAATTGTCTATGACAAATGAAGAAACTGTTATAATTGAAGCTAATTCCTCTTTAGGGAGATGATAATTTTTTTCTGAAAGAGTCATGTGGGGTTGGTTTCATGTTATAGTGTCAAATTCATCAAAATGTTAGGCAAAAACAAAATTAACCCGGTTTAAGAGAATCAAACCGGTATGGAGAGTTCCATTAATGCAATATTCTTAATGATTAGCAAAAATTAAGCAGTTTCCAACACCAGATCCAAACATACAGAAGCTAGACCCTTTGAAACCAGTAATTTTCAGGGATCTTACCTGAAAGACAAGCTGGAGCCTAATTTTCCGACCGGTATGTCCTTAATGGCGCAATCAAACACCAAATTTTCGGTTTTCATGTAGTTCAGATGCGCCGGAGAAGGTCGAACCTGAGAAGGTAATTACGGAGGTAAATTACAGCAACCCTCAGGAGTAGATTTGGGGGAAGAAAAGGATTGGGTGGGTGAGGTTATGGTTAATAAGGATCTGTCACGGTGACAAAGAAAGGTCTTTGATTATGATTCAGACGTGCGACCAAAAGAACAAGAGCGATAGTTCCTTCTTTTACTCGTCTGATGAGTTTCTGGTGTTTTTCTTTTTCTTGGGATCTTGTTCCGTCTGGTTATTTAACTAATTTATTTTGGGAAAATTGTCATTTAAATCACAAATTTTCAAATTTGGTTGAAATAAAGCACCAACTTTCTCATAAGCCAAAAAAATACTCAACTTTTATTAACAAGCCATTTTAATCACAAACTTTCGTCGACCATACCAATTTAGACATATCGTTAGTCAACAGTTATAGTTGACTAACGGTAGGCCTAAAATGACTTTCAAAGTTGATGCTTTTTTTGGCACAAATATAAATCAATATTTTTTTTACAATATTGGATATAATTTTAATATTGAAAATATTTTTATAACAGAAGCACTAATAAATAAAACTATAAATAAAAATTCTAGAAAAAATATAAATAAAACTCAATGTAAAATAATTAGTTAACATATATTAATTGAGTATCTTAGTTATAAAATGATAAGAATATTTTAGTTATTTACGATTAATTTTTTTAAATATTTATATAATCCTATTTGAATTATGTTTTATAATTTTTTTTTCAAAAGTTTGTTGATAAAATATTAATTCAACTCGTGTTTCTTAAATGAAAAAATTATCGATTAACGAATTATTCATGATTCTTTAAGTTTATAATAAAGATCTTCAAACAAATCTATATATTTTCTATAAAATTTTTACAAATGGTTTTCTGCATCTAAAAAAAAATAAGTTTCACCAAAATAGATAACTTTTTTTGTTATCCGGTAACTCATTTTGTTTAAAAAATCAAGAATTGAAATAATATTTTACTAACAAATTTTTGTCAGTAAAATTATAAAACATAATCCGTGTAGGATGATACAAATATTTTTTAAAAATTAATCGTAAATAATTTAAAAATCATAATCATTTTTTAACTAAAATACCCAATTACGGATATGTTAATTAATAATTTTACATTGAGTTATTTTTATATTTTTGAATGGAATTTATTTTTTATTTACAATTTTATTTATTAGTGTTATAGTTATTAAAAGTTTCAATATTTAAAAGCTAAAATATTGAAAAATTGTTGATTTATATTTGTGCCAAAAAAACACCAACTTTAAAAGCCATTTTAGGCCTACCGTTAGTCAACTATAACTGTTGACTAGCGATATGCCTAAATTGGTATGGTCGACGAAAGTTTGTGATTAAAATGGCTTGTCAATAAAAGTTGAGTGTTTTTTTGGCTTATGAAAAAGTTGGTGTTTTATTTCAACCAAATTTGAAAGTTGGTGATTTAAATGACAATTTTCCCAATTTATTTTTCATTTTAAATAAAATGTAATAATTGTCTTGTTAATGTATTTCTCCATGAGTGTAGGATTCATTAATGTTAATTACAAACCAATTAGTATTTTGCAAATCCAGCTTTAATTCTAGTCTACGAATAAATGATCAACTTTTTTTTGTTGTCAACAATAAATGATCAATTTAAATTTAAACATCTATTTTTGTATAAAGTATATCTTAGTTAAATTTGTTTATAACATTTCACAAATGCATTGTTGAATTTACATCCAGAAATATCAACCAGATGGTTGTCCATATTACCAAACAACTCTATCTTTTACCACGTGTTATTCTATCCAGTTCCCAGAAGTAATATTTTCTGAATGTAAAATTTACACTCAATAATTATTCAATTATTCATGCAATAAAGAAGTGTTAAACCTAACGGCTTTAGTAGTTGACCAATTCGTTGTTCACCCTTTTCTTGTCTCTCGCTGTTCATTTATTATGTTTACAGCTAATGAAGGCAAACATATAGTAGAAGCTTAATGAAAGCCAAAACTTCGAAAAAAAGAAAAAAAAAAAAGCCTAACTTCGATCATTCATATTTTCCTCCAACAGCATTAGTGACTGTGATTTGTTTATAACGAATAGCGAGTGTAGTGAAAAACTTAGTGAGTGTAGTTATATATTATTGGAAACACTTGGTATTTGTGAATGTGGTTAATAATTTACTCTACTTTAAATTTTGAAACCAAAGAAAAATGGGAGATTGGACTCTATAACAAAGAAAAAAACATAATTGGATAAATAGCCAAAGATCCTATCTTTTCTATACATATATTATACTTTATGTAATAATGATTTTTTTGTCCCCAAAATCAACCGACATAACCTATTAAAAAAATTAATTATTAGCCAGGTCAAGTAATTCATGGCATTTTGTAGAA